CGGGTCTTTTTGGCCTGTGTGCTTCTGCTGTGATTGAAGAGAGTGGAACCCTTAACTCTCTGCTTTTAAATTTAAGAATTTTTTTTTTTTTTTTCAAATATATATATAAAAACATTTTTTTTTAACTAGTCTGATGGTTTTTTTTCTCTTTTTGTGTGTTTTCTGTGCCCAACTGGCCAATTTAAGTCCACAAGGTTCCTGCCTCTGTCTGCAAACCTTACATGCAGGGATGTTGAAAACAAAGAAAGAAAATCAGTATTGCAAAATCTAACTTTTTGATTTCCAGGGTGCAGACAGAAAGCTCTTTAACTTTGACCAAATTTTAGGAGAAACTTGTTTTATCTTAATTTAATATTTTTATCCTAAAGATGATTCCATTTCTCTGCTGGCGTTTTGTCAGATCAGCATACCTATAGTCAACACGCAAGACGTCAGATTTGCGTTTATCCCTTTAGTTTTGTAGGAAACTTTAAACTACCTCGATGGGTGTGCATCCCTTTTGTTACGTGCAAAAATAACTACGCTTTAAAAACACCAAAAAGTAAGTAATTAAATAGCTTTTCTGTACATGATTAAAGGGCTACACGTCCGTTGAGGTAGTTTAAAATCTGTTTTTCATATAAAACTAAAAGGGATAAACTAAAGGGTTAAAGGGGTATTGACTATGGGGATAGCACAAAAAAAAAAGACTAATAAATCATATTTAAAGTTGTTTTTTTTTATCACAAGCATTTGGCTGACAATAGAGCCATTAATAGACCTCAGTTAAGATCACAAATATCAGAAAAAAATGATTCTTTAAAAAAAATATTCATTCAAAAACATTTTATTTTTTGTATCTTAAATTTAAACATAGGTTAAGAGTTAAAATAATAACCTGAAAACATATAAAATTGGATTTTCAGCGTGTTTTCTGAGAACAGTCATTAAAACTGAAGGATATTAGTAAATATTAGTGGTTTCTAAAGTGAGTTTAAGGTTATTTAATCTGGTATAAACAGGTTTTAGTTACATGACCAGCTGTAGTGAGATGCTGCTGCTGTAGTCGGCTAACATCTGTAAAAACATTTTGTTCCCAGACATTTTTCCTGAACAACTGAACGCAAACATTTAAAGGTTTTAAGTTATTAAGCGTGTTTAGCGGTTATCGTGTACCTTCAGCTTCATGCTTGGATTTTCATCTCATTTTGAACAGAAACTGTTTTATTTAACAGGTTTAGCTGCTAACCGACTGACCTGAACAGCGGCTGGAGAACTCCTGTGAAACGCCCGCCGGCCAACCACCAGCACGGCCTGCTGTGGGGTGAAAAGAACCGAAACTGACACTAAACACCACCGAAAATAATTTCAAAAATCACTGAGAACCTTTCAAATATCCCTTACCTTTCCGGAGCGCAGAAGACACTTCAGGGACGTCGCCATCTTTGCCCTGTCCTCTGCCGGGAGAAGAGGCGGGGCTTCAAATGAGGCTAGAGATTTCATCCAATCAGAACAGCGGATCAGCCGCCGGTCGGAATGTGCTTTGACAGTCAGCCAATGACAGCCGTTCATCGGAGCGAGAGGCGGGAGAGTGAGCCATGGTGGAAGTGAACCCAAGGACACCAAGCTGCTGTCATAAGTATGGAAAGCTAAAGGTGCCAAAATACTGATAAACCAAGTAGAGAGAAAAAACTCTGGTGATAGTTATAGAACTCAGCGTCCCACAGTGGGGACAATTAGGTGTATCAACAGAAAGGGAAAGTTTATAAATTAGACAACTTTTATCGTAATTTTGTATACAAAGAGTGTTTTTAAAAATCACTTTTTTGTCATATTGGCTAAAACTGTCCCTATGCCCAGACAGCAGTACATGTGATATGTAACCTGTGAAAAAAACTGCTTCAATTGGTCCCGCATACTGCCTGTATTTCAATCTGGAAAGAATAATTCGGGACGAGTCAAAACAACCAATATGGAAGTTCATAGCATTAAATCTATATGGTGCAATTATGCAGTGTTTTGGTTTGATGTCAGTTTGGTGCAGAATCTGTGACATTTAGTTTTCTCAACATTCATCATTCTGATGGCGGTGGGGAAGAAGCTGTTGCAGAACCTGCTGGTCCTGCATTGAATGCTGTGAAGCCTCTTCCCAGAGGGCAGCAGGGAGAACAGTCCATGGTGGGGGGGTGAGGGGTCATTGATGATGTCACAGGCTCGGGACACGCAGCGCTGGGATGACTTTAATGGAGGGAAGAGGAGCCCCCATGATCCTCTCTGCTGTTCCAGTCTGAGGCGCTGCAGCCTCCACACCACACAGGGAGACAGCTGGTCAGAACGCTCTCTATGGTGCTTCTGTAGAAGGTGGGGAGGATTGGAGAGAGCAGGTGGGCTCTCCTCATTCTCCGCAGGAAGTAGAAATGCTTTTGTGAGGGTCAACTTGAAAGAAAATTCTGCAGCTTTCGAAAATCACATCCTCCGCAGCTAAGTGCACAGATTTTTTCAGTGTAAACAAAGGTTTTTGTGTGTGTGTGTGTATATATATATATATATATATAAATAAAATATATAAAAGACTATTAGGAATGAACACAAAAACATGATTAACACATTGAAGTCTGACGGCTACTGGTAGAAAGGATCTCTTTTGTGCACCTAGAATGCAGAAGTCTGTCACTGAAGGATAACAGCTTCTTCAATCGGGTGGAAGACCTTAACCAACAGTAATGTTATTTGTGCCATCGTCACTTTGTCTCTCCAAACCTCCACAGCGAGGGACCGAGTTCCCAAAGAACTTCCCTCCTTCCTCTGAGTGGTAGATAAGCTACTTACCCCCTTTCAGAGCCATACCTGTCTATGGCTCCAAAAGGGGTCGTTAAAGGGAATTATTGGCCTGCCTGGGGCTTTGCAGGTTAACTAAAGACGCCAAACAACCCCCATTCCAAAGGGTTGAACCCGTTCGTCCGTTTCAATTAGCATGTTTTCTAAAGACTTTGTTTGGCTACTGTATAAAGCCTCAAACTCAACGTTAATTCTGACATTTTGAATTGAAAAAGCTTCCTGGATGGGAACCGAAACGTCTTCAAACTTGGAAGCAAAGTCCAGAGGCTTGTTTTTTTTTTTTAACATTTTGGGAATAACTATAACATATTTCAGCCCCTTAGACATTCAGCAGTGTGGCTCGCTGCCTGCAGAGGTCCAGACGCAGTTCTTGTAGCTCCAGTCCAGATAAAAAAAGAATCATAAAGTCATAAAATATGCTAACTCAAAATAAATGAAACCACAGGCCCTTACAAAATGCCTTCTGAAAAGAATTACTCCAGTAAATTGCAGTTAAAAGATCACAATAAAGGAAGTATTGTAAATAAATTTTTATTTTTATTTAAGCATTTTAAATCCCCCCCCCTCCCCATTAAACGAAGCAATCAGATACATTTGCCACAAATATGTGCAATATACGACTCATTGTTTCCCTGAACCGTTTTTAGGCAATTATTCATTCCATTTCATCTTAAAGAGTTTGTTTCATTTAGCAGCAGCATAGACTGCAGACTCTGGAAATGTCGAGTGCTTCTCAGACCGTGCAGATCTGGAAATAATAAGTTCTGCAGATCTGGACGGATCCTCCACACCTGTAAAGTGCTGCGCTGACAATCTGAGCTCGTTTTATAAGACCGTTCAGGATGCGAGGACCATCTCGTCTGTTGGGATTGCACAGATTAGTTTTTTTTTTTTAAACAAGAACTTGGTTTGATTTCAAACAAAAATGTTTTCCGGCTACTTCAGCACACAGATTTTAGGTTAAATCAGCTTCAGTTTGACCTGCGATGACTTTTTAGCTCCCAAGCAGAATCTGGAAGAAAAGCCAAAAATCCTTTAAGGATTTATAGTTTCATCAAAGCTGCAAATGTCAAAGCTTTAAAGCTTGAAAGTAGATATAAGATGTTTCTGTAAACTTCTGTTCCTTTAAGTATCTCCAGGCTTATATTAATGTCTGCTGCACACAGATCTGGTCAGAAGCGTCTCTGTGGAGGTAAGCGATGGTTGAGGCCTCAATGCACAGCTGAAGGAAGGATCTATAACTTTTCTACAAATTGAATATTTTTGGCTATGAGACAAATCAAAAAAGGTGGTTCTTTTTACTTTATAACCTAAAGCAGACGGTGATATAATCAATGGCGTTTTAAAATTCAGATTCTCTCTCTTCTTGCGGACTGGGCGACTGAGCAGAGAAAATGAAGCCGTCCTTCCTTAAAGAACAGCAGAGATCCTGGAAGCTGTTTTCCTGCACACTTCTGATCAGCTGGCTGAACATAAACTCCAAGCAAAGCTGCATTGACCTCAATTTCTAACAGAAATTGTACATCTGTGTGCTGAACTCTGGCAGGATTGAATATAAAGATCTTTATGTACCAAACTGTCACATGCAAAAAAAAAAAAAAAAGACATTCAACATCTCCATCGGCGGAAGTTAGTCCATACGGCACAAGAAAATTAAACGGCAAAACTGCATGAAAATAAAAAAAACCCTCCTGGGCTTTGAAATGAACCTTTAGCAACTATTGGATGAAACGGACCTCCAGCGTTTTCTGAAAGGTTCATTCATCCCAACATACTTTAGAAAAACAAATGATTCCTACAGAAAAGGGTCAAATGTTTATGTTGGATAAATAAAGGTTTTCTTTGGGCATCATGATTCCTCTTTAACCCCTGGCTCTACATTTCCACACAAGCGGTATCTCTGCTCACCTCTTTCAGTAATATTTTCACTTTTGGTGTTTTTTTAAGTGACTCTGAAATCCTGTAAACTTAAAAAGAAACATTGTGGAGCTCAGTTAGAAACCTGCTCTGCAGGGGCAATGGATCGGCAGACATGCAGATCGATGCCTGACAGACGCAGCTGAGGGTTTAGACAATCCCCGCTGTGTTTGGTCCAGATGTGGCGAGGCTTCAGAACTGGACCGTTGATTTTGCTCTCAGTCCGTTCAGAGGAAATCAGCAGCCTGTAGTTTAAATATCTCCTTTCTTAAATGACCGTTTCCATCATTTTAATCCAGATTTAGCTGGAAAAGGTTTGGAAATGTTCCAACACAAATTTGATTAAGAAATGTTTATCAAATGACGTTTAAATAAAGGGGTTCTGATTGCTCAAGTCATATAATTTTAATTAAATACCTTTAGATTGTACCTGCTCACCTTTTTGGGATATTATGTGGGGGGAAAAAATTTCATTTTTCTTTAAGGTGCAAAATTATCAAGTAGATTTGAAACTGAATGTAAAAATAAATGGTTCTAATTGGGCTCTGACAGTTTCACAATCCCAAACTGGAAAAATATAAATTTTAAAGATTAAAAAGAAGTTTTCTGTGAATTTCTGGAGGCTATTTCTGCACCTGGTGGGCTTCAAATGCAAAGCCTTCAAAACAGACAGGGAATAACATCTCCTTCCTTTCTCTCACTTCCTTTCTTCATGCATTTCAAAGCCAAAGGAACAGAGAAAACAAACCCAGACGGTGCTGGAAAGAGTGAAAACCCTTCTGAAGCTTCAAGACATGAAGCAGATCAAGGCCTACGTTTCTCTCTGAAAATACGAAAAAAAAAAACATCTTTTTTAAACAGTCTCAGCTCCGAGCCACTCCACCAACAAGAACCCAACAGTATGGAAAACTACAGGACATTAAAGTTCTGATCCAGGGAATTCAACCTCGGTACAATCATAAACCCAGAGCTGCAGCAGAATCTTTGACCTGCCAGAAAGTCCAGCCGCCACCTGGAGGGAACGCCTCACCTACCGACACCGGAGGGGAAAAAGAAGCTGAGGATTGTCCAGAACGTCTGTAGGCGGATGGATGGGAGTCCGGTTCTGACCCGTCCAATTCTCACAGCAACAGGTTAAAAAAAGTTAAAAGAAGCAGAAAGAAATAAAAAGTACTTGGATTTTTTCTGTTAGTGATTTGTTTTCACATCTCAGGGACGTATTGAGCACAGTGCAGAGGCGGCAGGTTGCCGTGGCGCCGGGTCAGAACTTGGGCGTGCTGCGGTCCACGGTGTCGGCCTTCTTCAGCTTGCCTTTGCTGAAGGTCTGGATGGAGCTGAGCAGGGCGGCCCGACCTCCTCCGGCGTCGTCTGAGGAGGAGGAGGGAGGTAGAGGACTGGAGGAAGAGTTGGGCACAGCGGGAGGAGGAGGAGGAGCAGGAGGAGGCGGAGGAGGAGGTGTGGTGTGGGGTCCTGGATGCAACACAGAGGAGAAGCATGAGAGAGAGAACCTGTCTGGGGCCAGTTAGAGGATTCAAATAAAAGCTGCTTTTCATCTCAGATTTAGAGCCAGCAGCTTTCTGCTCTCCTGGTTCTCCTGCCGCTTCAGATGATCCTGGTCTGTAATGACCTCAACTCACAATCAGGGTTTCCAATTAGATCGGACCTGGATCGGTTCCTTCCAAACCTTTACCTCTGAGATACACCTGCTGCATCATAGTTTCCTCACCAACCCTATCATCCAACTTTTAACTCTTTTCCTGCGTTTCTCTGCCTTCTTGTTTTGCTTCTACTTTGGTTTTTTATGCAGAAACGATGCCTAAACGTCTGTTATCCCGCTAACACTGAAGCTGAAGAGACTCTCCCGACGTGCCTCCATACACAGGCTCGTTCAACTCTTTTTTCTCATCAAGTCTTTAAAAGGGCCAATGGCGGCGGGATAAATGACTTAGACTTAGGAAATTTTAATTGTCATTTTGTATATACAGAATGTATTCAAAATGAAATTGGTATACACAACATTTTTATACACAAAATGAAACTTTTTTTATAATTCATAAAGTCCCATTTACTTTGCAGTTTTAGTCACTCTGCAAATAAATAAAAAAAAGTCTCTATTCTGACATAATATGTTGCTTTGTTTTGGCCCTCGAGGGCCCAATAAATTGCTTCACTGGATTCAGCCCCCTGGCCTTAAGTTTGACACTTGTTCTGGACAATGAATCAATGAATGGGAATAAAATCCCCAACAGAGCTGAGGGAACCGGAACCAGAACTCTCCAGGTTTTGTGGAGGCTGGACACTAATGCTTTCTGGACAAGAGGCTCAGAGGACGCCTGTATCAGATCGGATCTTCTGAAGCGTTCCTTAGGAAATGTTTGGATTATTCCTAAGGAAAGGCACCACAGGAGCGGCTCAAAACCCAAGAGCTGCTGGTCTGTTGTGAATTTTTAGCCGTTTTGCATTCTCGGAGCTGAATGGAAGCCAGCAGCTGAGCTAAAAGAAGCAGAAAATGAAGCTAACTGCGACGTAATGATCCAGTGGTTTGACAGACGGAGCCGGAGCTGAAGAAACTTCCTCTTTCTGCTGCCGTGTTTGGATGCAAAATGCTTTGAATCCCAGTTTATCTCCTCAGAATGCAGCAGAGATGGAGTTTCTCCAGGAAACCACCGACCCGCATGTTTTGCAGCTGCTTTCAGGGACTTTTCAAGCTAATATTCAGATGGGTCTCGACTTTTCCCTTTAAAGCTACCACTGATCAGACGGACGGTTCAGGAGCTTTTCATCATAAAGATGTGGAGCAAAAGCAAAACAGGTCCTCCCCCGTACTTAAAAGCAGGCTTAAGGTTTATGTTTTTGAACAGCTAAAGTAACACTTTGCAATAAGGCTCCCTTTTTAGATGGATAATTAGCTTAAAGATGTTTTATCAATCTGCAAACATCTAAAAACTCATAGTTGTAAATTATGCATGCTGAGAAATGTGTCTATTAATGCTTATTGTGTTTCCGACACAGTAAACTAGTATGAGCTATGAGAAAAGCAACTTTTAAACCAAGCATGCACAAGGAGAAATGGGCTTTTGCACGCATTTAATAGGCGTTTCTTCTCGGGAGCAGCTACAGGGTTTTGCATGTGCATTTTTTTGCATGTGTATTTTCAAAAATTTGCTAAAATCCTCCACAATACCTTTAATTATAAAGTGTTTCCAGACTAATTCAAACCGTATCTGTAAACCAATTATCACCTATACATGAGGGGAGCCTCACTATAACGCCGTACTGAGCTAAAATCTTATTGTCAACTGATCAAAGCTAACTGTTCAAGTAGAGCAGAGCTGCATAATGCTAGAGAGACTGGAAACTATGGTAATATGATGAATATTGCTGTGACCATGTAATAAACGTAGCTTTCTATAAATAGCAAAACAGATTATTTACAAGCCGAGTTTGACAGCATGGAGCCTGAAACTACGGAAGAGGATTAGGGCCACTGAAAAAAAAAAGTTAACTGATTTTTACATTTTTTTTCAGTTTAACATGGGAAAAAAGTCAGAATTCTCACTTTTTACTCATACTATACTGAAATAAAATTTAAAAAATCAGTTAACTTTTTTTTTTTTTTTTCCAGTGGCCCTAATCCTCTTCCGTAACACTCCAGCCTAACAGACACTAAATAGAATAGAATAGAACTTTATTGATCTCCCGATGGAGAAATTCATGTGTGACATCAGTTCTTAAATCATCTAAGAGAGAAACTGATATAAAAGCAAAGTTTTCATGATGCTTCCGACTACAAACTGTGTGCAGGGTGGAATTGGAAAAAGTTTAATGTCTGCAGTGGTTTAACAAACAGCCAAACATTCAAGCATCGCTTTAAAACTCATAAAACTCAAAGTCTGCTGCATCCATTTCTAAAAAATAGGAATTTTATTTAACTGATTCGTTTTATGCTCACTGAATATTGTATTAAGTGGGTCAGAAAAAGTAAAAACATTCTGAAAATCAAAATCTAATGACATCTTTGATCAAATTAATTCTGGTTAAAATCAGACTAACGTCTCGTTTCTCAGTTTTTGATGACAAATATAGAAAAGCTTTAGTGATTTGGGTCTTAAAATAACGGAGCAGGACTGAAATAAGAGCTTTAATAAACCTGATTTATGGAAGCCGAAGCTAAAATAATATTTGGAGTTTGGAGGACGAGGGCCCATCGGAATATTAGACGATACAAAAAAAATTAAATACAACATTTTGAGGTTGATCAGCTTCAGTAAAAAAAAAAAAAGGAGAATGCAAAAATAATTCACAGCTGAGAGCAAATGAATTAAAGCCTAAAAGGTTGAGACATCATGTGACGACCCCCCCACCCCACACACACATAAACAAACAACCTGACATGCAGACAGACGGACTGACATCACAATCTGCAATGAAAACAGGAGGAAGGAAGAAGCCGGATGTCATTGGAGATTGTGAGGTTTTTTAAGAGCGTGAACGTAAACCCTGATGGCAGCAAGCGCTGGTTTGATGACCTGATAACCCGACAGGTTCAACTACGGTAGAAGGGTTTGGATTAGCTTTAGGTGAAGTTACACTGCAAAAACTATCTAGAAATAAGTCAACCTTTCTAAAATTAAGTGTATTTACCCTTATTTTGAGTAGGTAAA